TAGCAGAGAAATTGCACAGCATGATAATGTCACCTGTGGTCACCCTACTGTGCAGTGAACCCTAGAACTTCTTACTCTGATTCAGCTGTAGCCCAGTGCCCAACAGTCAGCCTCTCCTCATCTCTCTCCCAACTCTTCTCCATTAGATCACCTGTTTTCTAGGCTCTACCTCTGATACTTGCCTTCCTGTACTCTGTTTACTTCACTTGAGATAATGATCTCCAGTTCCACCCATGTTGTTGCGGATGACAGGATTGCCTCCTTTCTGTGCTGGTGGTAGTCTTTGGTGTCTGTATACCACGTGTTCTCATCCATTCGTCAGTGGGTGGACACTGGCATTGTTTCCATTGCTTGGCTGTTCTGAATCCTGCAGTGAACAGTGCAGATGTCTCTTCAGCAGATGGATTTCAGATCTGTGTGCATATGTACACAGGTGTGGGGTTGCTGGGTCATAAGCTAGTTAGATGTTTAGTTCAAAGAACCTCCATGCCATTTTCTACAGCGGCTATACTAAATCGAGTCCCACCGACAGTGTGCAAGAGTTCCCTTCAGAGCTTTGCTGAACTTGTTTTCTGTTATCTTTTTTTTTAATTTATTTATTTGAGAGATAGACAGTGAGAGAGACAGAGAGAAAGGTCTTCCTTCCATTGGTTCAGCCCCCAAAATGGCCACTACAGCCAGTGCTACGCTGATCCGAAGCCAGGAGCCAGATGCTTCCTCCTGGTCTCCCATACAGGTGCAGGGCCCAAACACCTGGGCCATCCTCCACTAACTTCCCAGGCCACAGCAGAGAGCTGGACGAAGAGGAGTAGTTGGGACTAGAACCTGGTGCCCATATGGGATGTCGGTGCCGCAGGCGGAGGATTAACCAAATGAGCCACGGCGCCGGCCCCAGTTTTTCTTCTTGATAATGGCCAGTCTTACTGGAGTGAGGTTTGCCTCGTTGTGGTTTTGATTTGTATTTCCGTGATGATTGATGATGTGAAGGATTTTTTTCATGTACCTATTAGCCATTTGTATGCCTTCCCATGAGAAATGTCTGTTTAAATATCTCTCCATTTGAAAATTGGATTCTTTTTTTTTTTTGGCTATTGAGTTTGGGTTCTTTATATGTTCTAGATATTGGCCCTTTGAGATATAGATCTTGGGGATATTTTCTCCCATTTTGTGGGTTGTCTCTTCAGTCCGTTGATTATTTCCTTTGATGTGTAAAAGTTCCTTAGTAAAATCCAATTTATCTATTTTTGCTTTATTTCCTGTGCTTTTAGAGTCTGATCGAGAAAATCTTTGTCCATTCTGATGTCCTGATGTGTTTTCTTCTAATAGTTTCAAAATTGCAGGACTCACATTTAGGTCTTTAATCCATTTTGAGTTGATTTTTGTACACGATGAGAGAGGGGTTCAGTTTCATTCTTTGGCATGTGGCTCCTGGCCCTGGGTCAGCCCTGGTTGTTGCGAGCATTTGGGGGAGTGAACCAACAGATAGGAGCTCCTCCTCTTTACCAGTTCCGTTTGTCTCACCGTCTCTCTGCCTCTCAAATAAATAATATTTTTAAACAATTTTGTGTAAGTGATAACTATTTTTTCTTCTTACCGTTTTTATATAGACATTCTTCAAGAATCCGTGGCTGAAGAATGTCTTTCATTTGTATAATTGTCACCAAATTAATTGCAGAAAACATGTGATTTTAATTTTATTTGTATATATCATCCAAAGTACACATCAGATGAAGACTGTGGTCCTCAGTGTTCACGTTGTTGATGGGATGCCTGCTCCCAGTTTATTGGCAGTGCTGCTCGTACACCCGTGATAGCACTGAGCGTTCAGCAGCGGCAGATTCCAGTTTGGTGGTGCCGCCACATTCACGTGAGAAGGAACAGGGCCTTGAGGGTCAGACGGACCTAAGGTGAATCCTTCCTCCATCCTTACCAGACGGATGAGTCTTTGTGTGCTTGTTTCCTAGTATGTGAAGTGCAGTTTGTGACTTAGGGTATTGAATCGCAGAGGTTAAAGGAGGAAGCATTTGCTAAGTGCCACATAAATGAGACTCTTACCCCGAACGTTGTAATAATGCTTCCTAGTAATGTTTAAGCTTCAGCTCCGCTCGGAGAGAATGTGGACGTGAGTTTTAATGTGCTGTGGTTCCCTGCTGTGGGATGTGTTCCCCTACCTCAGTGGATGCCTGAAGACAGTCTTGAGCATTTCCATGGGACCCGTCTTCCTGTGCTCCTGGGTCATCAGCTGCCCGCCCAGTGGTGGTGAATGTATTGTCAACGCTGTGAAAAGGAAACTGAAGTCTGTTCCCTTCAATCTTGCATGGTTAATGAATCATTATTTGTTGTTATGAGTTTCTCTTGAAGTGACAAATGTGGATATAAATATAAATAAAGAATAGACATTTTCTGAAAACACTTACTTTCCCCAAGGGCTAGTTCTTTTTTTCTAACACTCTTTTAGAAAGTTGCCATTTGAAAAGGATAATTGTAAGACTTTAATTCTAAGAATCTTTTGTCTGCCTACTGACGTAAGAAAAAAAGAACTAGAGGAAGCTGACCTCCCAGGAATGTGTGAGTGGGGATGTTTTAAGGCTCGAAAGTTCCTGTCCATGTGTCTCCATTTTGGTTTCATATATTTTCTTGAGGCTGTACTTGTATGAGCACACGTTTGCGGTTTCTCCTGTAGACCACATTCCAGTCCCTTCTGAGCTCATAGGTGTAAGGAAGTCTAAACGCAACCCTGAATTGAGTACCTTTAATAAAGTTTGTCTAATCTGTCTAGGGCTCACATTGTGAGGGTCATACAGGTGTCCGCTGGAGTTTGCCTCCTCCTCTGGACTTGAATGTGGTGTGCAGCTGTTTGCAGTTACAGCTGTGCCTCTGTGCGGGTCAGAGGAAAGAAACGAGCAGGTTGTTGAGTCCGGAAAGGGCAGCTGTCAGGACAGGGAACGGGCAGTGAGGACAGAGGGATCTGGATCGTGGTGGTCACTGTATAGATCTGTGAGTTTGTAAGAAATAATTGAATTATAACATGATTATTTCCTTTATTTCTTACTTTGGATTTGATATGTTGCTATAGACAAATAGCTAATTTCCCTAAAACTAGTTTTTCTATAAAATATTTAAGGACAGAGAAACGTTCATTTGGTTCTCTGGGAAGGTACATTCTTCTGTGATACGAGCTTGGAGTTTACAAGGCTCTTACTAGGAAGCATCTAGTGTCTACTTGCCTTACCTCTCGTGTGGACAGTTTGGGTTTTATTTCCAAAGCCACAGAAGACAGGAGTCAGCGACTCCATGCTGCTGCCAGTTTGTTTCCAGTGGCTGCAAAGTCAGAACATACTGCTTTGTGTCTGTCCCCTTTCTAAAGGATTGCTTTATTTATTTTCCTGAAGGGTTGCTTTAGATTAGTTACAAAGCTTTGTTTTCATTTATGCTCTTAAAGGAAACAGTTTATGGACCTTTCTTTTCCCAGGTGTTATCTTGTGTGCACGCGCTCACGTGGGTGTGTATTTTTTCTCGCTCAGGAGATGATTTGTATTTTAGAATTACTTGTTCAGAGAAAAACTTGTTGGTGTAAAATTGGTATTATCATGCAGACTTACATATTTTTAAAGATATTCTGTACGTGTGCCCTCCAAGGGAGCATAGCAACATTGACTATAACCTGAAAAATAATTTATAAAAGCTATCCCACAAATATAGTAAAGGCCAAATAGTCTAAAGATGTAATTAAGATTATTGAGATATGTTTAACTCTCAGATCTGGCAGTGTCAGGCATTGTAAGGACTAGGCACATTGTTATAATTAAAAAACCACATAGAACTCAAGTCTGTCTCCCACAGGGTGGCAGAGCCCCAAGTGCTTGAGTCATTGCCTGCTCCATCCAGGGTGTGCATCAGCAGGAAGCTGGAACAGACAGCAGAGCCGGGACTCCAACCCAGGCATCCTGACACTGGATGTGGGTCCCAAGTCGGAGCTGAATCCCTTCACCACATACGCGCCTGCAAAAGCCTTTTCTTACTGTAATTAGTTTAATTCTCAAAATTAATAGGCCGTTAATCATCCTCATTCTTAATAATTCATCCAAGGTCACACAGCTGGATGCAGTGAGATAGACAGAACCACTGTACCATTAGGATGGTAACTTGATTTTCATAAAACGCTAGGTTGATGGTTCAGTGTTTTTAAAATGTAGTCATTGGGGCTGGTGTTGTGTCTGTTAATGGATTAAGCTGCCACCTGTGATACCAGCATCCCATGTGAGTGCTGGTTCGTCTCAGCTACTCCACTGCCGATCCAGCTCCTTGTTAATGTGCCTGGGAAAGCAAGGGACGATGGCCTTGGGCCCTGCACCCACAAGGGAGACCCGGAAGGAGCTCCTGCTTCAGCCCGGCCCCGCCCTGGTCACTGTGGCCTTTTGGGGTGAACCCGCAGTGGAAGCCCTCTTTATTTTTCTCTCAGTCCCTCCCTCCCTCTCACTCTCTGTGTGTAACTCTGCCCTTCAGATAAATAAACCTTAAAAAAAATTTAGTCACGATCTTTGGGATTTCTTTTATGTGTCTGAGAGTTTCATCAGTTATCTATTTGGGCTGTTTGAACATTTCTGTGGGAAATATTGAAACCTTGTCCACAGTCTAAAAGATATGGAGGGTAACTGCGCTTGATATTTCTACCCTTTTTGAGAAGTCTGCGTTATTGTAACTCAAAACATGAACCCTAATTTCATTTGCAAGAATACTTATAGTTGTTGATTAATGGATATTATGAGAGTCAATTTAAATAATCAAAAATATTTTAATAAATTGCTATGTTGAATTAAGCTCATGGTTCTATAATTTTTAATTGATGAAAGATAAAACAGATTATAAACCTTTGAATAAGTTATTACAGGGTCATTTCACAGTATGGGGATGTTTTGGGGAGAATATGCTGTTTTTTAGAGATTTATCTTTTGTTTAACTAATTTATCTCCCCCTTCTCTGTTTTATTTTTAAAACAGGATTTTAGCCCCTGACAGTAATTATCAAGATGTTGAGACCCTCTATAACTTCCTAATCAAGTATGAGGTATGAGAAATACCTTTAGCTGTTATTATGTTTCCACCACAAATAAGTTGTAATATAAATAATGATAGTAGGAGTTTCAGAAATGGAATGGAATGCTGTTTAGTATGTGCTTTAAATTAAATTCTTGAATGCCACAGAAATTTGCCAGTGACATACCGTCTCTTAGAAATTGTATGTGTTTAAGATGTACAACATGATGTTTTGACACAGTCATACAATAGTGAAACGGTTACTATAGTCACATAAATTAATATGGCACCCTTTTGTGTGTGTGTGGCAAAGATGGCACATATGTCGCCGGGTCATCAGCGACGGTCCTCGTGTGACACATCAGATCCTGGGCTCACTCACCCTGCTTATCCTCAGTTTTCTGTGTTTGGCCTACACCTTCCCATCTCCTAGACTCCCGCAAGAGTCACCCAAGAGTGACACATGTACTCAGTTTCTACTTTGGCTCCCTAGGTAAGCATACAGTAGAACCATAGAAACAGTACCTTCTCTCCAGCGCAGACTTGTTTCTCATCAGGGTGCTACTGGCCTTTTGGAGGTCGTTTCTGGATTGTGTGGGGCACAGCTGGCTGTCTGACTTTGCGGTTCCTCTTCAAATACTAATTAGCTAGCCGAGTCATTGTGGCAATTACAGATGCTACCCACCCCCACCCCCACCCCCAGGCAGGCAGAACCCCGATGCTGCGAAGGAAAACCACAGTTGAGTTTCCTCTGGGGCAGCAGCATGGGTTGGGGTTAGAGCTGCATCTTGCAGGGTGGCCTGCGTGCTTTCTCATCACTGCTGATCCACGGAAGGTGCTCTGCCGATTGCCAGTTGTTGCTCAAAACTCTGCCCGCATTCTTTGTATATTCCTATTTTCAAGTTTGTGTGTTTCATTTTTAAAACATTCTAAATGAAGCAGTGTGACATAGATTCAGGTCTCATGTCTTAAGGAAATAAGCTCCTTTAAATAGTCTTCTTTACATTTGTTCCTAAAAAAACCTTTTCAAATTTTGTTTTCATTGTACTTTAAAGGTAGAGAGAGAAACAGCTCTTCCATCTGCTAGTTTGCTCCCAGATTCCTAAAACAGACGGACTGTACCTGGCAGAAGCCAGAGGCCTGGAGCTCAGACCAGGAGTCCCATTAGGATGCAGGAACCCAGTAGCTTCTGAGCCAACACCTGCTGTCTTCCCAGGTGCTTTAGTAGGAAGCTGCGTTGAAGTGGCAGAGCCGGAGTCAAACCAGGCACTCGGATATGGAGTGAAGCGTGAAACGCCTACCACTATGTGATTTTTTGCATGCCGTGCCTTCCATTAAGAATCTAGTGATCAAGAGCACAGACGCTGGGGCTGGCCTTGTGGCATGGCGTGGTGGAAAGCTGCAGCCTGCAATACTGACAGCCCACATTGGCCTCCATGTGTGTCTAAGCAGCTCCACTTCCAATCCAGCTCCCTGCTACGGCCTGGGAAAAGCAGCAGAAGATGGTCTGAGTGTTTGGGCCCCTGCCATCCATGTGGGAGATCTGGAAGAAGCTCCTGGTTCCTGGCTGTTGTGGCCATTTGGAGAGTGAACCAGTAGATGGAAGATCAATATCCCTCCCCGCCGTAACTCTGACTTTCAAATAAAAAATAAATCTTTAGGAAAAGAACACAGACTCTGAGGTCAGACTGCTTGTGTTCAACTGTTGTGTCCTCCGCTTGTTAACTGTATGGCTAGGAACAATTGTGTAACTCTCTGTGTCTCAGTTCCTTCATCTGTTAAATGGGAGTCACAGCAGTAGATACAGAACAATAAAACAGTATGTCAGACGAGTACCATGCAGGGTAAGTGGTAGTCAGATGAGTACCATGCAGGGTAAGTGGTATGTCAGTCGAGTACCATGCCGAGTAAGTGGTATTTCACGTGAGTACCACGCAGGATAAGTGGTATGTCACATGAGTACCATGCAGAGAAAGAGGTATGTCAGACGAGTACCATGCCGAGTAAGTGGTCAGTGCTCACTGTTTTTATTTCAGCACACATTGGTATTCATATATGCTTTTAAAAAGCATCCAGAATGCTTTACAACCTCATTGTGTGATTAAGACCATTTCCCCGTTTGACATGATTTGTGTTTTATCACTTTCTAAATTTCAGTAATAATAATTCAAATTCTAATAATGGAAATATATTTATGGACACAGTAGGACACCTTTTTTTTTTTTAAGATTATTTATATTTATTTGAAAGATGGAGTTACGGAGGTAGAGGCAGAGAAAGAGGGTGTCTTCCATCCGCTGGTTCACTTCCATCCGCTGGCCACGATGGCTGGAGCTGGGCCAAACCAAAGCTAGGAGCCAGGAGCTTCTTCCAGATCTCCCACACGGGTGCAGGGGCCCAAGGACTTGGGCCATCTTCCACTGCTTTCCCAGGCTGTAGCAGAGAGCTGGATCAGAAGTGGAGAAGCCAGGACTTGAACTGGCACCCATATGGGATGCTGACATTGAAGGCAGTGGCTTTACCCACTGTGCCACAGTGCTGGCTCACTAGGACATCTTTAAAATTATATATCCTAGAAAATTCTGGGGCATAAGTCTTTGTGGGTTTAGTACTTCCTATTGTATGGTTTTTTTTTTTTTTTTACAGGCAGAGTGGACAGTGAGAGAGAGACAGAGAAAAGTCTTCCTTTTGCCATTGGTTCACCCTCCAATGGCCGCCGCAGCCGGCACACTGTAGCCGGCGCACCGCGCTGATCCGAAGCCAGGAGCCAGGTGCTTCTCCTGGTCTCCCATGGGGTGCAGGACCCAAGCACTTGGGCCATCCTCCACTACACTCCCAGGCCACAGCAGAGAGCTGGCCTGGAAGAGGGGCAACCGGGACAGAATCCGGCGCCCCAACCGGGACTGGAACCCGGTGTGCCGGCGCTGCAAGGTGGAGGATTAGCCTATTGAGCCACGGCGCTGGCCAATACTTCCTATTGTTAAGAATATTGGTTAAAAATATACCAAGCTAATTATTTATAAAAATATATTGGGGGCTGGCACTGTGGCTTAGCTCTGGCTGTTGTAGCCGTTTGGGGAGTGAACCACCAGATGGAAGACTTCTCTCTATCTCTGCCTCTGCCTCTCCCTCTCTGTAACTTTGCCTTTCAGATAAATAAATCTTAATATATATATATTGAGAGGCTGGCATTGTGACTCAGTAGGTTAAACCACTGCCTGCAACACTGGCCTCGCATAAGAGCAGATTCAAGTCCCGACTGTTCCATTTCCTATCCAGCTCCCTGCTACTGTGCCTGGGAAAGCAGTGGAAGATGGCCAGAGTGCCTAGGCCCTTGCACCCACGTGGGAGACCCGGATGTAGTTCTGGCTAAAACCTGGTATAGCCCCATTGTGGCTATTTGGGGGATGAACCTGTCGATAGAAGAGCTCTGTCTCCCTCTCTCTGTAACTTTCAAATAAATAAAATAACTCTTAAATAAATAAATACATAAATATATATATATTGGCTTGATTCTCAGATTTTTAAAATAATTTCTCTTAGCAGAATTTAATCCCCATTCCAGTTGCCACATTGGAGATTCTGTCTCATATTACAGTGATAGGACTATCCAAATCTGAAGAATTGTGACTGTTTTTACATAACTGTTGTGTTTTATTCTTGCATTTTTAGTAATGAAAAATAATTGTCCCATTTTTAATATTTGGTTTTTATTATAAGTAATACAACTAAAACATACAACACTCTTACACAATCTACTTTATAGTGCCAACTCTGTTAACAAAAGCTTCTTTTAGCTGTTTGATCCCCAGAAATTGAAATTATGTATTTAAGCACAGCCATGATACTTAACATAAACCACTGTGGCTAAGTAGAAATGTCTTGGTTGGGGCCAGCATTGTGGCAAAGTGGATTAAGCACCACCTGCAATGCTGACATCCCATTTTTTGGGTCCTAGCTGCTCCTCTTCTGATCCAGTTCCCTGCAGTTGTGCCTGGGAGAGCAGTGGAGGGTGGCGCAAGTACTTGGGCTTCTGCCACCCACGTGGGGGACCCAGATGTGGTTCCAGGCTTTTGGCTTTGGCCTGGCCCAACCCCAGTCATTGTGGCCATTTGGGAAGTGAACCAGCAGATAGAAGATACCTCTCTCTCTCTCTTTCAAATAAAACTTTATTTTAAAGTCTTGGTTATCAAATGTAATGAGTATGGTGAACCGAGTTGTTGCATGTTAGAAGTGTCATGCATTTGTTCTTCCGGTTTTCATTTGTAACTATCTGCTCTAAGCTGGAGCCACATCATTCTCCTGCAGCTGTTTTCCAGAGTAAATGTCTAAATATACGTGGCTTGTTGCTTTCAAAACTAAAGATATTATACTTTTTAAAAACCTCTGTGAAAAGCCTAACTTTTTAATTCACATCATATCACGTTCAAAATCAGTTCCTCAACTGATTGATCTCAGCAGTTGAAGAATGGATTGTGTTTATCCTGTGACCAGACACCTGCAGTGTCTTGACAGATGGACCAAGTTAGGAGACATTGTACCTAGGGCTGTGGTGGAAGTATCAGAGGTCCTGGGCGATGGGGACAGAATATATGATGTTGATGGCTTAACTCCACATATTTGCTTCAGAATATTTTCAGAAAAATTTTAAAGTAAAAATTATAACCAGTGGATGGGTGCCTCTGTCACTCTGTTTTTCTGTCTCCTGCCTTTCAAATAAACAAATTTTCAAAAATATGTAAACTAAGAAAAAGGTATGATAAATTATATATTCCAATTTTTAAGCAAAATAATAGAAATAGAAGTGTTTGAGATTTGCATTTGAGGGACGGTGTTGTGGTACAGCTGGTTAAGCTGCCACCTGGGACACTGGCATCCCATCTCACGGTGCCGGTTCCAGTCGCCATTGCTCTGCCTCCCAACCGGGTCTCTGCTGGTGCACAGGCGTGAGTGCTTGGGCCCTTGCCGCCCACGATGGGAGACCAGGATGCAGTTCCCAGCTCCGGGCTTCAGCCTGGCCCAGACCATTTGGGGAGTGAACCATCGGACGATCTTACTCGCTCTGTCCTCTCTTTGTGTGACTTTGCCTTTCAAATGCATCTTAACATTTATATTTGAAAATGATTATATATTTACTTTTAATGTAAGAAGCACTTTCCACACATATATGTTGAACTTTTTATGAAAACATTGAAGAAGGTCATGGAATTTTTACAAATGAGAAATACCCTAATGCTTTAGAAGACTTTTATGATATGAATGTTTAAAGTAGCTTTAAGGGCCAGCACGTGGCACAGCAGGTTAAGTCTTCTCCTGCAGTCTGGCATCCCATGTGAGTCCCAGCTGCTCCACTTCCGATTCCGCTCCCTGCTAATGCACCTGAGAGAGCAGCAGGTGTTGCAAGTGTTGGGCCCCTGCACCGGGCGGGCACCTGAACGAAGCTCCTGGCTCCTGGCTGTGGTCTGGCCCAGCCCCAGCCTGGCCCCTTCTCTCCCTTTTCCCCTTCCCCATTTCCCTCTCCCTCTCCCTCTCCCACTGTGCCTTTCAAGTAAAAATAAATCTTAAAAAATAATAACATTAAATGAGGGTAAGGATGTTCTCAAAGTACACTGAGTAGAAGACAGTCTTACTGAGATTCCTGCCACTAATTCCAGCTTTGTGAAGGTGTGTCCCCTGACTTGCATTCTGGTAAGAAAGGTGTCCTCTGCACGTTTCCAGGTTCGTCCTTGCATGTAAATGCGCATAGCCTGTCAGCGGCAAGGTGCGGGGAGCAAGCTCCTTCCGCAGGGCCTCCATGTGTGTGTGTGATGAAGAAATTTTATACTCAGGGTTGTGAATGCTGTCTCTGAATTATCATTCTTAGTAACTTAATTAAATATGTAGACCCTCAAACTGAGGAAATGTCCGTGTGTGAAGCTTTTGCCCAAATCAGATGGATCTCTCCTCCATTTATAACCTTATCATGGTTTTCCGTCCATTTGATCTCCAAAGTGATCGCCTGCTTTGTTGAGATTCCCATGACTTCTAAGTCCACCTCACTTCAGCTGTTGACTTGTAAGACAAGCGCCAGCGTTCTTGCCCACCGCCGAGATAATTAGCATTGTGGTCACTGGACTTCCTGATTCAGCGATTCTGCTCTCCGATGTGATGGTACTCTCATCACTCTTTACCAAGTGTTCTTAATGACCGTATTTTGATTCTTTTCAGGTAAATAAAAATGTCAGATTTACTGCTCAGGAGCTGCATGACTGTGTCTCTCAGACTGAGTACCGGTAAGGCCTGTGTCCATGCTCTTCCCATACTCGCTGCTTGGTGTGATGGTGAAAAGTTCTGGTTGTTTTTAATCCATTCCACTACACTGTGATTAAAAAATAAAAAAATGGGGCCAGTCCTGGGCATAGCAGTTAAGCCTCTGCCTGCAGTACCAGCATCCCATATGGGCGCCGGTTCTAGTCCTGGCTGCTCCACTTCCGATCCAGTTCTCTGCTATGGCCTGGGAAAGCAGAAGAAGATGGTCCAAGCCCTTGGGTCCCTGCATCCACGTGGGAGACCTGGAAGAAGCTCCTGGCTCCTGGCTTCGGATTGGCACAGCTCCAGCCATTGCGGCCAATTAGAGAGTGAACCAGCAGATGGAAGGCCTCTCTCTCTCTCTCTCTCTGCCTCTGCTTTTATCTCTCTAACTCTTTCAAATAAATAAATCTTTTTTTTAATCTACTTATTTGAAAGGTAGAGTTACGGGGAGACGGAGAGTGAGATATCCTCCATCCACTGCTTCATTCTCTAAATGGCCACAATTCTTGGAGCTGCGCTGCGCCAAAGCTAAGAGCCTCTGCCTTCATCCAGGTCCCACATGGAGGCTGGCCGGGCCCAAGCACTCAGGCCATCTCCCACCACTTTCCCAGGCCCATTAGCAGGGAGCTGGATCAGACGTCAGGACTGGTGGTTGTAAAGAATGCCACTGTTACAGGCTGTGACTTAGCCTGCTGTGCCATGCTGGCCCCATCCATCCTGTCTTGTTGTCGCAATGTGTCCCAACCATATTTCCCGCAGGAAGCCTGTGGTTTTTACCGCATGGTATTAGCAATAGTGATGTTCCAGAATGCCTGTGTATGTTGCAGTCAACTGATTGTAAACCATGAATCAGAACACGGATGAGCCTTAGTTTTGACCTAAAATAGAATATGGGGTGGAGGTGCTGGAGAGCCTCATGAACTTGTCTGCCGAGACCCTCGACTTGAGAGCTGTCTGGATCCAGTCAGGCTGCTGAAGCAAAATACCGAAAACGAGGCAACTTGTAAGTAGCAGACACGGCCCAGGCCAGGAGCCTGGAACTCCATCCAGGTGTCCCGTGTGGGTGGCAGAGCCCAGGTACTTGGGCTGTCTTCTGCTGCTTTCCCAGGCCATTAGCAGGGAACTTGGAAGTAGAGCATCCAGAACTTGAATCGGTGCCCACGTAGGGATGCCAGGGTCTCAGGTGGCGGCTTAGCCCGCTGTGCTGCTTCGCTGGCCCCAGGAATTTCCACACTCTGACTACAGGGATGAGCTCCATGGCAGAATCCTCAGGGTTATGTTGGATCTGGCTCTCGCCAAGTGTGTCCTGGACCCAGAAACTTGTCAGAAGTACAGATTCTAAGACCTGCCCCAGATGTACAGAATCAGGAAGTGGGAAGAGAGCCCAGTGTCTATGAACAGTTCCTCTAGGGTAGAGTCAAGTTTGAGATCCACTGCATTAAGTTAATAACCTGGTCTTCAAAAAAAAATTTTTTTAAGAAAAATAATCTAAAAGCCAAATTTAGGCCTTTGATGTTTCTGTATTAATTCAAAAAGAGTTATATAATCTTGATGCCACTCAAGGTAAGGTAGGGTAGATTATAATAAGCCTATCGTATGTTGAAGATAAGTCCTAAGTTGAAAATGCATTTAATACACCTGACCTTCCAAACATGCTAGTTAGCAACACAAGGCAAAGTTATAATAGCACCCCTTGTTGGAAAGACCGTTCCTGCCCCCACTGAAGGGTCATGGTCTCCTTGTTGAAAATCAGTTGACCATTTTGAAAGGGACTTCAAAATGTGGAGAAATGGAATTAAAAGATAGAAATGAAAAATGTGAACTTTCTCAACCTAAGTTCCATCAAGACACATTGTAAGTTACAATACCAACCATTTAGTCCTTACTTAAAGAATTGAGGATTCTGGGAACTCAACCATGTCTGTGCCGTCATTTACATTACTAACTGAATAAAAATGGGTGCCTTTGCAGATTATTTTAAGATAAAGAAACAGAAGTCAGAAGGGGGCACATCAGGACTGTGAGGTGGATGTCCAGTGACTTCCCATCAGAACTTGGGAAATGGTCCTTGAGCCGGAGTGAATGGCCCGAGTGCTGTCCTGGTGCTGGACTCTGGGGACCTTCCCTGCACGCGTTTCTGCTGAAGCTGTGGCTGGCCCCTCACAGCAGCCTCTCAGTAAGCAGACGCTACTGTGCTTTGGCCCTCCAGAAGTCAGCAAGCAGAACACCTTACGGAGCTCAAGATGCTGGCATGGCCTGTGCTCTTGAATGTCTCGTTTTGCTTTTTAAAAAAATTCTTGTCACCCTCATCAGTACTTGTTTTTTTCTTTTTTTTTTTTTTCTTTTTTTTGACAGGCAGAGTGGACAGTGAGAGAGAGAGAGACAGAGAGAAAGGTCTTCCTTTGCTGTTGGTTCACCCTCCAATGGCTGCCGTGGCCGGCGCGCTGCACCGAACCAAAGCCAGGAGCCAGGTGCTTCTCCTGGTCTCCCATGGGGTGCAGGGCCCAAGCACTTGGGCCATCCTCCACTGCACTCCCTGGCCACAGCAGAGAGCTGGCCTGGAAGAAGGGCAACCGGGACAGAATCCGGCGCCCCGACCGGGACTAGAACCCGGGGTGCCGGCGCTGCAAGGCGGAGGATTAGCCTAGTGAGCCGCGGTGCCGGCCTGGTTTTGGTTTCTGTTGCCCTAATGATCAGTGATGCTGAGCATTTTTTTCCTGTACATTTTCCCACTTATATGACTTCTTTTGAAAAATGCCCATTATACAGTTGGCTTATTTGTGAGATTCTTGCTGTTGATTGGTTTAGCTCCCTTATATATTTTCGTTATTAACCCATTGTCAGATGTATAACTTTCGAATATTTTCTTTCTGTAGGTTGTCTCTTCACAGTGTTGAATGTTTCTTTTGCTCTGCAAAAGCTATTTAGTTTAATACAGTCCTACTTTATCTCTTTTTGCTTTGTTTATCTGCTTTTGGGGTCTGAGCCGTAAGAAAAATCCTTGCCTGCTCTTACATCCTTAACATGGCCTTTTCACTTACTTAGGTCTTTAATTTCTTTCAGCAATAGTATTTGTTTTTAGTGTACAATTGATGCTGTTATACATGGAATTGTTATCTTTATTTCCTTTTTGGTCTGTTCATCATTAGTGCTAAATCAGTTCATTCTAACAATTATTTTGTGAGTTCTTTAGAATGTACAATTTGAGATAACTTTGTTTCCAGTTTCTCTTCTGTGCCTAATTTCTCTGGCTAGACTTTGCAGTAAGTTGTTGAATAAAAGCAGCCTTTTCTGTTCTTGCAGCCGTCTGTCAGTCTTCTGCCACTGAGCATGGTACTAGCTGCGTATGCTGCTTTTATAGTAGCTTCAGCTTGCAATTTCTCTTTCACTTGAGATACACACTGCAAATGTATGGCAGTGGTGCGCCTCTGAATGGGAGCGAGAAGGGGAAAGTCACAGCCAGGCTCCAGCGGGTCTGGTTGGGGAGGGATTTTCCCCCACATATGAAGTAAACAAGCGAAGACAAGGATAGGGACCTGCCTGTTTGACTTGTTTTATGTCTATAAGAGAACATTTATATCTCTGCTCTTTTGAACATCTTAAGGGTGTTCTGAAATCACTTTCTGAATAGTGGTACAGAGTGGTGGTAACATGTTAAGCTTTAAGCGTAGGAAACAGGACTAGGGTAACAAAGCCACAAGTCAAGTTCTAACCAGTCTCAAGGGAAGCCACACATCCTCAGGAAGTGAGGTTGTTCAGAATATGGTGTATTTACATTTCATTGTCGCGACTCCCTCTTGTCCTGTCCCCTGGGTTTTGACAGCCTTTGTTTCCCTTGTCTGTATATCGAGGATCCGCTGGTGGGAGGGCCCGTGGGAGAGGTGAGTGGTGGTTCTTTCCCCTGCTGTGCAGACTTGGGCCACCCAAGAGGCCAAGGAAGTCATAACTGTTGGACTCAGTAACAACAGCGGTTGTCGTTTCCTGAACACCTGACGTGTGTTCTCCACGAACTTGTGTAGATGCAGGCTGTTCCGTGAACTTACATAGGCATCCGTGAGATTTGAAATCCAGACTGCAGCACAACTGTGGGCTGGGCGGCTAGGGAAACCACAGACTGGAGCTCCAGGTCAGCTTCTGCGCGCCTGCCTGGCTGGCTGTGCCTCAGGTAAAATGCCAGTGGCGGCACGGAAGATGTTAGGTATTACATCCTGCACCCCCACCCCTTGGTTCGGGGTTAGTAGCCAATACTCCCGTGTTAACCGCCAGGTAATTTAGAAACCCTCCTTAACTGTGGAAGCTCTGTCAACTTGTTATCCTCTCAAGTACCTGCTGCCTTTGGGGGGTGCATCCTCTCTCTCCTGCAACCCGGCTGTTCTGTAATTCTGAAGCCAAGTAAGGCAGTGTGAAGCTCTCAGTTCCAGTGTTGCCTACCCCTTGGATTAGAACATTTTAAGGTGAGCCCATCTCCTGCTAGGAGAGGAATTCAGAGTCGAGTAGAACGAGGTTGTGCAGCCCAGCCCACTGCACTCTTCACACTCCAGCTTGCCTTGTCGGCAGCAGGCCTGCCGCGGGAGCCCTTAGTCCTGAGTCCTAGGAATTTTGCCAAGGTCTGCCCGTGTTGGCTGTCTACAAGTATGTGAAGTTGTGATTATCCACGTTGTTTTATCTGTCCTAAGAGACCATAATTGTCGGCATTTTGTCCCAAAATCTGGGTGTATTTCGTATCTCAGTATTGCCCCATTAAGAGTTGTTACTACATCCAAAGGAGATGGCATCTGTATATGAAAGAGATGCCTACACTTCAGTGTTCATTGCAGCACTACTCAGAATCACCAAGATCAGGTATCAGCTTAAATATCCATTAGCAGATCAGAGTAAGGGAAATGTGGTATTTCTGAATGTTAGAATAC